TACCAACGGAATTAGGTTTACCTTTGCAATTGCCATGAGCTGCTGATGCTAAGTCGTGGGATCAATATTTAATGAGCATTCTTCCACTTGTCCAAGCAGAATCTGCCAAACACTTAGGCTGCATACAACTGGAATAACAATGGTGTTATAACTCTATCATCGTCCACTTGCAGAGTACAAAGTGGATGACTTGGTGTTAGTTTGTTTTCCCCATTTTACAATATATGGTTTATTTAAGAGGCTCCTTGCTTAGTGGAAAGGACCATATAGGTGTTATAGCAAGTTGGACCGCAAGTTTATGAAGTTCGGCATGATATCCAGCAGACTGATCCTCCAGAAATTGTGCATGTGCAACAGTTAGAGCGCTTTATACAAAGGCATCAGGAACACCTAATACCATCTATAGATCTACTGATGCCTCCTCTTGACATTCCTTTAGATCCTGGCCCACCTACAAGAGAACCTTGATGGTCTTCCATTATTCTGAGAAGAGGGGATGATATGAAGTCCAAATGTACGATTATGATGCCGTATACTAATATATAGTGGGATTAGCATAGTGGGATTTTGATAGCTATTAGATTAATTTTAATTCGGACCATTTGCTCTTGTATATAAGCTAGGGTTTTTGGAGTAATTAATATACACATTTTCTGTATTCTCTTTCCTTATTCCAAGCACTCACAACTAATTATTATATTTTATAGTTATTAAATTAAGTTTTTTTGGTATTTTTATATCTCTTCTTCACTTATTCTATTTTAATCCTAACTTTAGTATTACAACACCTATTTAATATTTCTTCTTTTTTCCTCATTATTGGCTTTACCTAATTTCTTTAGCTTTTCAATTTTTTTAGATGTGTTTTGAGTATTGTTTTTCAAGGTTTTTATTATGTCACTTTATAAAGTTAAATAGAATTTAGTAAATACAGAAAATTAATTTGTTGTGTATTGCATTGGAATATTAATTACAATGACATAAATGTTTTTTATAATCTGTCTATTTTGTACCAATTATAATATACTTAAAATTTAATGTATATTAAAACTTAATATATCAACTACTATAATAAATCATTTCAAATGTGAAAGAATATATGGTCTATAATTGAGAATAGGGAACTTTATTTATAAAACAAATTGCTACTCATTGCATGTATAGTTTGCTTAATAGTAGTATTCCTGTTTAGTATTATCTAATTGATCAATAATTATCCATCATTAATCTTATTGTGTATCAACCATTAGATGGTAGTATAAAATAGAATATACTAGTAAGTGTTTATGAAAGTTTACAAATTATAATCATGTATATAAATTATAATTACCAAATTAATAAATATGAATAACAACTGTTAGATAATAGAATATCCAAGCATATCTATGTGTATTACTTTGTTTAAGTAAACTAAAAAATTATAGAATTAGAGAAAGTCATATAAGGATCCAAGGAAATATCCTCCATAATGAGCTGCCCTCTCCACGTGAACTTCTGCACCTCTATAGAAGTTACAATATCACTTAGTGAGTTAGTTAATAAGCTTCAAGGCAGTCTGGGTTGGCAAGAATATGGAGATGTGTGGGTGTTTGGGTTAAAACAGAATAGCAAAGAGAAGTAATATTTCATATTGCTACCACAGGTCCCATGCAGGATCTCTGAACCATTGCGTGCAAAGCCAGCAGGAAAAGTGCTCTAAAAGTGTATAAAAACATATTTTTAATATAAGTTAAATTTACTATAAATAAAAAACACATGATTAATCTAAATGTATATACATCATTAGATTGTAGAATATGCTAGAATATACTTGGAGGTGTTTATGGAAATTTTTGGTTTGCTTAAGCAAACCCGTTGCTAATGAATAAACCTAGAATATTCTTGGATATTCTAGGATATTCTACCATCTAATGGTTGCTATACATTTAGATTAATCTTGTATTTATAATTTATAAACTTTCTTATTAAACGCTTCCTTGTATATTCTTGTTTATTCTACCATATAATGGTTAATATTCAATAAGATTAATTTTGTGTTTATAAATTATAAATATGTTTATAATTATAAACTTTCATTTGATCAATTGGATTAATAAAGGAATAACACTACTATTAAGAAAACCAAAGCATTGCTGCATGCAACACATAGCAAATTTTAAATGATATACATGTTTATAAATTATAAACACAACATTAAAGAATAAACCAAAATTTTCAAGCATATTCTAGATATATCTATTACCATACTTATGCAAACTAAACATATATTCAAAAATTTATTGAGATTGAAATTATGGTTCAGAGACAAAGTTACTTGCAGCGCACAAACACAAGCCTGGTCTGGAATGTTTGGAGACATTCCACAGAGGGTAGATCTCCATTAAACCTGTTATACAAAATCTCCGGGCATGTCAAGTTCGTGAGTCTCTGGAATGGAGCCGCTGAATTCGTTGTGCAAGAGCTCCATCTGATGGAAAGAAGGTCGTTATGGGACTGTAAGATGTTCTAACTGAGATCCAAGATTTCTAAACTCTCAAGGCTGGAGAGATTTTCCAGGAACTCTTGCAAAGAAGTTGAGAAGCTTGAGCCACATGTTCTTGCAGCCAACCACCTTCAGCGAGGAGATGTTGTTATGAGAGAGGTCCAGGCGAGACAGGCCCAGCCATTCGTTTGGATTGACAGTCTCGTTCCACACGTTGATGCCACTCCGAGAGAGAGAAGAACCTGTGTGTCGTTGACAATCCCGGATGGATTCCTGGGGCACTGCGACCGAGATGTTGTGAAAAAGGCAGAGTAGAAACAAAACCGCAGCAAATTGGAGAAAGACGTGGCCGCTACTTCTTATTCAAACCATTTGATAGATCAGAAAACTGCACAAGGTAGCGGGATCTGGAATATAGAATGTGGACTTGGAACTTCTTACGGAACACAGTACATCTCCTTTAGGACCATGACTATCTAGTCCACCAGTTGGACTGATGTTCAAAGAAAAACAGTCAACGATAGATCACTTTGAAGCGTGCTGGACCATCAAAGCTGGAAGAAAGACGAAATAACTTATCCTCGATATGACTTCAAGCGTAGTCTTCCGAGTGAATAGCACGCAACAGTGCAGGATGGCACCGGTCAGCTTGGATCAAGCGATCACGCTCCACGAGCTTGTGGCTCCAGCAGACTGAAACGGCAGCCAAGCGCCTGAAATCATGCCGGACGTCCGAGTGCCACCAAGAGATCCAGCATCCGGCAGCCAAACGACTTCTCTGGAACATCACACCACGGCACCCACAATCATCAACAGAAGCTCTTAGCTGAAGTATGGCTTTGACAGGGAGTTTCTTGGGACTTATTTTGCGCCGTGCTCTTCACCTCGCAAGTGAAATGACCCCTGTGATTTGCATACAACCTCAAAGCACTACACGGGCATCTGCCACGCGCTTTCCACAGGAGAGCTTTCTTGGCCTTTACAAGGGGCTCTGGCCGACTCTTTTAGTACGTTCTTCGAGAGCTTATTGGTTTTTCTCCCTGCCAGTCCGTAGGCCCAACAATTGCAATAAACTTCTGTGTGTACGAGACTCTCTACAACTACTGGAACGCTCAAAGGTGGATTTTTTCTTAGTTTCGAGTCCTTGGACTAGAGTGTGAGCATGTTTACTTTCAGGCCCGACTCGTCTAGGATGATGACGAGCTTGATCTCCGGTGGAGTAGCCCTCAACAGATCAAGATCGATTACGTTTGATCGCCATCGCTCCTGTTTTCAGTGGTGTTTCCGATTGATTTGGGAAGGAGAAGGATGCAACTTGAGGGCGATCGGAGATGGGGATTGCGAGCTCGCTGAGGCACATTGCTGGGTTGTACAGGGGGATTTTGCTCGAGTGCCTTTTTTCCGGGCGTGGGGATTGCCTTCACGGTGTATGAGAAGAACATTGGTGAATGTAAATGGTCCCAGATTCAGTTCCAACCGTCCGATATTCTTGAATCGACGGCCTTGGTTGAATTTCCATGTTGCTAGCAAATATTTAGGGTTCTTGCGATGGATGGGAAGAGTTCGCTTGTTCTGTGGCTTGGCGACGGCAGCGATTCGATGCGCCGCACCAGCATTCGCTCCTTCGGCAGCGCAGCCCGATCAGCAGGTGGCCGCGCTGGTGTCGGCGCTGAAGGTATGTGGCAGCACAAGGGATTTGCGCCAGGGCAAGGCGATCCACGCCCAGGCGGTGGAGAGCAAGCAGCTGGGGATCCATGTCGTCAATGCGCTGGTGGACATGTACGCAAAATGCGGCAGCATGGAGGATTCCCGCCGCGTGTTCGACAGCATTCTTCACCCAAACGTGATGTCCTGGAACGTTTTGATGCTGGGCTACAATGGCGAGAGCGATGTGGCTCTGGATCTCTTCGAGAGGATGCAAGCCAGGCGGTCGGGCTGCAAGCCAAACTCCAGGAGCTTCATGGCCGCGTCGAAGGCTTGTAGCAGCCTCGCGGCGAAGGAAGCCGCTGTTTTGGTCGATGGGAAGCTCGTCAAGGAGGCTAGTCTCGAGACCGGCAGAGGCATCCATTCTCAAGCCAAGCAGATGGGACCATCTTGCAGCGAAGACGTTTTCGAGCTCGCTGATCGATATTTACTCCAAGTGCGGCAGCATGCTCGATGCTCGATCGGTCTTCGATGAGATGCGTGGTCTCCTGGAACGCTTTGATACTGGGCTACGTAGAGAAGGGAGAAAGCGAGGTCGCTCTCGAGTTCTTTGGGAAGATGGACCGCTCGCCAAGCTCTCGGACTTTCGTTGCTGCTGCCAAGGCCTGTGCGAATCTAGCAGTGAAAGAGGAGGCCACTCAAGGAGATAAGACGAAGAGCCTGGAGAAGGGGCTCGCTGTTCACGATGGAGCATGGTCGACGCGCGGATGGTTTTCGAGAGCATGCCTCGCCGTGATGTCGTGCTCTGGACGAGCTTGATACAAGGCTTTGTGGACAACGGGAAAGCGAGCTGGCTCTCGTGTTCTTCGAAGATATGAAGCTATCCGGGTGCTGTCCAAACTCTCGAACGTATGTTGCTGCGCTTGCCGCCTGTGCGAGCTCGGCAATGCGAGAGGAAGTGGTGGATGTCGACGGGAAACTCGTGAAGAGAAAGAGCTTGGAAACTGGGCTGGCTATCCACGTTAAAGCTTCAAACAACAGGTGCTGTGAGGATGTGTTCGTGGGGAACGCACTGATCGATATGTACGCGAAGTATGGGAAGCTAGAGGAAGCTCGCAAGGTCTTCGATGGCATGGCTGGCCGAGACGTGGTTTCGTGGAACGCAATGATCCAGGGATCTGCTGGAAGTGGAGACAGCAAGCTGGCCTTGGAGCTGGTCTTCGGCATGGCTCGGGAGAACGATCCGGACGAGAGAACGTTTATTGCTGCGGTCATGGCCTGCGTCCACCTTTCAGCGTCCGAACAACCTGTTCCGCGAGAAGATGGAAAGCTATTGCGAATCCAGAGCCTAGAAAGGGGATGGAGATTCATTCTCTCGCCGCGAAGTTTGGATGCTGCAAGGACAGATTTGTCGAGAACAGCTTGGTGAAGTGTGGAGATATGGTGAAAACTCGAGCAGTTCTCAAACGCATGCCTAGCCGGGACGTTGTCGTTTGGACGAGCTTGATACAGGGATATGTAGACAACGGTGAGAGTGAGCTCGGGCTGGAACTCTTGGAGAGCATGGACTGTGCTCCAAACTCTCGGACTCTTGTAGCGGGACTTACGGCCTGTGGGAACATTGGGTCCAGCGAAGCTGGAAGGAAAATCCAGACTGAGTTTTACAGGCGTGGGCTGGAAGACGACCATGTTGTGGGGACGTGCATGGTAAACTTCTACGGGAGGTGCGGCCGAGCACTTGTTTGGATCTCTGGCAGTCCGAGAAATGCACTGATCACAGGAATCGGCCAACCGGGTAACACGTCGCGCGTGTTCGAAGCCTTCCGCGAGATGCGAGGAGATGGCGTGCGAGCAAACGCGATCACGTTTGTCTCGGTCATCACTGCTTGCAGCCACGGCGGCCTGGTTGAACGAGGCAGGGAGTTTTTCCAGGCAATGGACCCGAACTCTGGCATTGTTTGCGGGATTCATCACTACAGCAGTGCATGGTGGATCTGTGGTTTGGAGGACCGTCCTCGGGGCCTGCCGCAAGTGGAAGAACGTGGAAGTGGGGAGGATTGCGTTCGAGGCACTGACGAAGATCGACGAGAAAGACTCGGCTGCGTACGTTCTGATGGCGAGCATCTACCGGAGCGCGGGGCTGTGGAAGGATCATGATAAGCTCAAGACTATACAGGAGGCGGCCGGATAAGAAGGGTCCAAATATTCATCTACGAGCGGATTGATATTCATCAAAAGTCACACGCTTGAAGCTACAAAGGACGGCAGCGGCAAGGTGGACGAGCTGGAGATTTGATCATTATTCATTTTATTATATACGTACATTATTAAAATACGTTTGGTATACAGTGTTAATTAAGTATAAATTAGCAAATTTGCTAATGGCGGCACGTGGATGTCCGATTGTTGCCAGATCTAAAGGTTCGACTCCCGCTTTTCTAGGAGTGGCGGGCGAGCGACAACGAAAACGACGATGGGTGGAGCTGCTGGGAAAATCCCATGAGCAGCATGAAGTTGAAGAAGTGGAGTTTCTTGTGGCGAGCAGCTGCGGCCTCAGATGCCTATCTCACAGGCATTGTCACTTCGATCAACGGTTGTTGATCGAACAAAGGCGCTGAAGGAATTCTGTGTGATGAAGGGCTTGCAGCTTAAGGAGCGAGAGCTGGAGTCGATCGACATCGGCACGCTCCATGGACGTGAATAAGAGCACGCTCAAGTTTAATGTTTTTAAGGCTGAAAGTATGAGATTCCTGAAATCCAACTCTAAAATAACTCCAATGATCAATAATATTAGTATAGTTTTATTTGATTGTTTATTCTAAACATTTTGCATTTTATCCGCTATTACAGCTTAATAGAGTAATGCAAGCACCGACTTAAGGATACTAACCACTGCACTCAGCACAAGGAAAATGCAGCTGTTTGGAGTAACAAGGATAATCACACTCTGCAGAAGCTTGATAGTTGCGGTGAGGCTCAAGATAACCGTTAGATCAACTTTGATGAACTTGATTGGAGTCCACACAGGAATGGCATTGCCCAGATACTTGCAGATGACGCCAATGATAATCGGGCAAGGGTAGCCACCAGGGATGTAGATCACAATGATCTCAAGGATGATAATCACTGGATAAAGGATGACACATAGCAAAGGAACTTTGAGGACGAGGTCCTTTAAACTAGCTATAACTTGAGTGACAATTCCAAGTACTTTCGCAACTAGATCCAATGGGACACCAATGTTTGATGAAGTTCCATTTGTAGGAAGCACCGTCTTTAGAGATCTCATAGTGCCTTGCAAAACCATTTACATGGACAAAGAGTCAAACAAAAGTTTAGACCAGGTTATATACCATACCAGAGAGGTCTCCACTAGCATCATTGTCTAAAGCTGAAACATGAACAGCACTCGCAAGCAGGAGGCATGCAAGTGGGAGAATGAATGCTATGCTTGATTTTGCCATTTTCTTCGATTTAATCTTCTAATATTGCTTGGATAGTGTGAGTTAATAATCTGAGGGACATCTATGCCTTTAAATACTCGACAAAATCACACCAAACTTTAGGCCACCTCTAAAGCAAAGCAAGACTTTTGAGACAAGTATATCTTGAATATTTGATTCGATCTAATGTAATCTCGATTAAGTCTCCTCGGATATCCTTGGCCAGCCGAATCACGTATAGGATTTGAACCTAGTTATCACTCCAATTATTTGTACTTTTAAGCCTCGTGACAAGAAAGCGAACTTGGCAATAGTGCATTCTAGAGCAAAGCTGGGTTGGTGCTTGGAATGTCCGTGCTTCCTAAGCGGGTACAAGTGGACTGTAAACAAAATTAAATTGATTCGTTGCTTGGAAGTGGAAAGTTGATTCATCATCAAGTGGATCCCTTGTACCCATATTATATGAGGCTTCGTTTAGAGCATTGGAAGATTTAGAGTTAATTAGATCCTTTTAAAAATCAAAAGACACCAGGTTAGACGATCGCAAACCAGGTCGCAAACCAAACCTGCAAAAGCAGCAATCTCTACCTTCCCTTTGCCAAACTTCATTACCTACTCGCAAAGAAGAAAATGACCACACGCTGACGAGGGTAAGCGGAACTTTACATAGATTTATAGATACCACAAGCTGACGGGAGTGGGAGGAATTTTGCAGGAAATTTACAATAGCAAGATCCCCACCACACCATGGCCCATGATTTCAGACTGCCACGGGATGGAGAAGCCAAGTAAGAAAGTCCCTACATTTAAGTGTAAAATCACAAAAAAGATAAAAGCTCCATCAGGAGTCCTGGTTGGACAACATGAATGTATACGCTCTCACACAAGCAAGACACCTGTGGGCCGTACTTTGAGAGTCTCGGTCGTCCAACCAGTGACTCCCCATCGGTCCGCCTGCCAGCATCGGGGTGTGCGGGGTGCTCGGGGCAGGCTCTGTCCCAAGTGGACTTCGAGCACAAGACCGGGGTTGAGCTTGGGATCCGTAACAGCCCAAATTAAACAATGATATAACCATAAACTAAAAATACAAAATGCAATAAACTACTAGTTAGAATACTTTGGATTATTTTAAGCCATTTTTATAATAAATTATTAATTTACTTTTCATCCTTTAATGAAAATGAAAATTTTCCTTTTTATTATATAAGTTTAAGCTCTTTCAATATTTTTAATTGCAAAAGAGAAAATTTATATAAGTTGTACCTTTGAGCTCAATGTAGAGGATACTTTTTACTATATATCAGAGTTAAAAGAGGAGAATATTTATAGATATATATATGACTTGTTTGACGCCCCTCTAGAAGGAAAGAATCTATAAGTTCAAATAGCTAATAATGAAAATTCTTAATTTGAATTAATAATAACCAGATTAACTACACTAATATAGGCTGCCAAGTCAATGCAATGTAGACATCAATTATTGTATAAGTATAGTTGAAAGTGTGATGTATCCCTAACTAAAATGTCAAAACATAAAATATTTTAGCCATAAATGCAAGACTATTATTTGAAAGAATCTACTATGAACATGAATGCTAAAACACCACTTGATTGAAGAAGAAATATTTAATAATAGTTACAGATGCATTAGAAAGAGCATTAACTTCCACTTAATAAGTCAAATAGTTAAAAGCAATAATAACATACTCATTATTAGTAATTATCATGGAAAAAACTCTATTAAATCAAATGCCACTAACTTAAAAGGATGGGAAATTACAATCAACTCTAACTATCCTTTTGTAACACAAGGGGGAGTATTACGAATTTACACAGCTATATAAACACTAGATAACATTATGGCGCATCTTCGACCAATAAAAAAACTTACATAGCTTCTAAGTTATATGTTAATATATCATATGTATGAGTAGAATAGAAGAGTCATGGTAAACATAAAAAAAGTGTGGAATAAAGATTGAAGGCACCATTAGTCATTAAGATCAATCTTCACAAAGTAAAGAAAGTCATCTTTAATGCAGTATTGAAAATGTAAATATCAACATAATAAGTTATTAGCAAGTGATATTATATTTGAGCTTGTGGCATTTTATTTGATGGGGGTTTTTTATGATTAACTTGAATATGTTATTATTACTTTTAACTACTTAACTCGTTGGGTGGAAGTTGGGTTATATCCGAAATAAATTATCTTGGATAATGGTCTTACATTTATAGTTAAGGCATTTTACGTCTTAATATTTCAACTAAGGATACACAACACTATCACAAGTGTTTATCATCCACATACAGATGGTTTAGTAGAATAACTAATTCAAACCTTCAAAGGGATGATTATAAAGTATATGAACTTTTAATGATTTAGATTAAAATATTTATTTACTATCTCTTTAGTATTTATATGTCATAAGGGTAGAGATTTTTATTGATATTTAACTATATAAAGTTTTATATAGTGATGATCTAATATTGCTAACAAAGTTGAGTTTACCTTCCTAATTACTATGAATTGTTGATGCTAAGTCTTAGGATCAATATATGATAAGTATTCTTCCAGTGATTTGAGAGGAGTCTATTGAACACTTAACTATTATAATCATTTATTTATGGATGATCTTAATGTTACGCTATGTGGTTGTGTAAAAGGATCAAGATTGCCTACAGATACACAAGTGTCTTTTCATAATGTTCTTTCAAATCCCAACCCATCAACCAAGCAACCTTAAGTACCTTCCATCTTTTCAAAAGAAGGGGATGATGTTATAATTGCATATATTAATATTAGCATAGTGGGATTTTAATAGCCATTGGATTAGTTTTAATTCAAACCACTTGCTCTTATATATAAGCTAGGATTTTTAGATTAATTGAATATACATATATCTATATTTCATTTCTATATTCCATGCACTCATACATTTTAATTTTTTTTATTGCCTAACTTAATATTAAAAAATATAAAAGCTAGTCTCTCTATATATAAACAGCTATCTTTAGTAGTTTTTGTTAGATCTAGGTAGTAACACTTTTCCCTATAAAATTTCTGGAAATAATTATATTATATATTTATTAAATTAATATTTTATTTTTGTTATTCTTATATCTCTTCTTCACTCATTCTGTTGTAATCCTAACCTTAGTATTACAATACCTATTTAATATTTCTTCTTTTTTCTCATTGTTGGCTTTACCCAATTTTCAATTTTTATTTAGATGTGTTTTGAATATTTCTTTTCAAGGTTTTTACTGTCACTCTATAAATTGAAATAGAATTTATTAAATACACAAAACTAATTTGTTGTGTATTGCATTGGAATATTAATTATAATGATATAAATTTTATTTAATCTGTATACTTTATATCAATTATAATAAACTTAAAATATATACATTTTAAAACTTAATATTTCAGCTACTGTAATAAATAATTTTAAATTTGAAATAATATATGGTTTATAATTGAGAATATACTAATCTTGTTAACTGTATTTATAAAAAAAAATTGCTACTCATGGCATGTACAAGAGCTTAGTTTGCTTAATATGAGATACAAATCTAAGCCCTAAAGTGGACTAGAAAAGGTGTTATATGGTAGTGGTTGAAGTGGAAGTTCAACAAGCATAATATGTTTAGACTTAAGGCTTCAACTTTGAAAATCGAGAATGAAAGTGGAACTCCAAATGAAGTACTCAAAAGATGATTATGAAATAATCGATGAATGAGTTTCTAAAAGGGGCACAAAAAGGACTAACACATGGCAAGTGTCATGACACATGGAAGGGTCATGAACAAGTCCGAGATGGAGTTCGAGATAGAGTCCAATATGGACCTGAGACAAATCCGATATAGATCCAAGATGGGCCCTAGATGAAGTTCGAGATGGACCCAAGATGAAATCCGAAATGGACCTAAGATGGAGTTCGAGATGGAGTTTAAGATGGAGTCTGAGATGGAGTTCGAGATAGACCCGAAATGAAGTCTGAGATAGAGTCTGAGATGGACCTGAGATGGAGTTTGAGATAGACTTGAAATGGAGTCTGAGATGGAGTCCAAAATCGAGACCCAGACCCAGACCCAGACTAGGACCAAGATCGGGACTGAGACCAAATCCGAGATTGAGTCTGAGATTGAGTCCGAGACTGAGTCCGAGACAGAGTCCGAGTCTAAGTCCGAGTTTGAATCCAAGTCCAAGAATAAAAGCCCAAAGCGATTATTTCCCAAACCTTAAAGGGTTTGGTGAGCTCCAAAAGTATAGTAGAGGGAGGACTCTAGCGGAGCCAGTTTGGCCAGGAAAGATTAGTGTGACAAATGAAGGTTATACCCACATGTTGGGTGATGATATAACCACTAAAGAGTCTAACACTAGAGTGAATATAGATAAATAAACAAGGTAGCTTGTGAAATGTTCAAGAGCTGACTCTAGTTCCCCCGAGAGATCAAATGGTTAATACTCTTAATCCAAGTATGGGTGGCACTACCTATTTGGATATGTAATATAGCTTAACAAAACCTTGCTCTAGCCTCATGGCTAAGACACCCAAAGGCAAAAGGTGGGGAGAGTACCCACAAGGTTTGCGTAGGGCTATAGTGTTCCAAAATGTTATCTTAAAATTCTAGACTATGGAAAGGAAGAAAAACAATCCTCTAATGTAGTGACTAAAGATATGGTCATATGGTAAAGAAATCCTAAAAGACAATGGAACTTAGTGGTCAAGCCTTTGAGCTTTGGTCCAGTGGCAGTATGAGTGAGCACGGCTATGGATAAAAAGGGACTTGGTGAGCACGGAAGAAGAGATATTGGTGAAGGGTGTTTTTTTATATCTTTGGGCATTTTAATGGTACTAAAGGGTGGTCAAAGGATGACCACTCATAGACAAATGGCTTAATCTTTGAAAGATAGGATTGTGATGTAGGTAGTCTTGGATTACTATTATAACAAGGGTGAATGGGCATAGCCTTAATGTAACGGGTTGATATGTTGATGATACCTTTGGGTGTTAGTCATAGGATTAGACACGTGAAGCACTTAGACCAAATGCAAAGGCTAAGTGGTATAGATGTCATTCATAGGGCTAACAAATCCCCAAGTTTAGAATAAAACTTATAGAGGTTGTCAGTGAGACTCCTCGAAGTGGTCGGAGGTGGTTATATTTATAATTTATAAAAACAAGATTAATCTTATTGCATATTAACTATTAGATACTAGTATAAACTAGAATATACTGGTAAGTGTTTATGAAAGTTTATAAATTATAAGCATGTATATAAATTATAATTACCAAATTAATCTAAATGAATAACAATTGTTACATGATAGAATATCTTAGAATATCCAAGCATATTGCATGTATATTCATTACTACCTTGTTTTAAATAATCAAAGAATTAGAGAAAGTCATATAAGGATCCAAAGAAATATCCTTTATAATAACTTTGCCCTCTCCACTTAAACTTCTCCTTAAAAATTAAATTTCTCCTTAAACTACTTCAATATAGTTTTTGCTGTGTAAACTTCTGAATTTAAACTTCCTAAAAAGTCACCTAGCCTAATACTATTCAAACCCAAGAACACATTTGGATGTAAAAGAAAATCCCTATGTAAGCAACCAAAGAGAAAGACTTAAAAGTTAATCCCAAGTATCCTAATACCTTAATCAATTGGAAAAGGGGGTGCATTTTTGTTCATAAGCCTTTTCTTTATATATTTGAACCAATATGAATTATTTCTCAAGTCATTTTCTTTGGTTATTTATAGTTTATTACACTTCTCTGTAAGTTCACACCCTCTGATCAAACCCAATGAAAGCAATCTAGACATACTATATATCAATCAATATATGGTGTAATTCCCTTAACCAACTAATAGAGTTAGATCTAGACCGCTCTAATACCAAATGTAAGTTCCTGAATTTGAATTTCCTGGGAAGTCACTTAGCTTAGTACTATTTAAATTTAAGGACACTTAATCCTATGTGTCTCAAAACTTTAACTGATTGAAAAAAGGGGTGCACTTTTGTTCATGGGCATTTTCCCTCTATATTTGAACCATTATAAATTATTTCTCAAGTCATTCTCTTTGGTTGTTTATAATCCATTATAATTCTCTATAAATTCACACTCTCTAGTTGAGTCTAGTGAAAGCAAATTAGATATACTAAATTTCAATTAATATATTGTATGATTCCCTTAATCAACTAACAGAGTCGAATCTAAACCACTTTAATACTAAATGTAAGCTCCTAAATTTAGATTTTCCAGAAGGTCATCTAACACGGTACTATTTCAACCCAAAGACATTTTGAACCACTTCAAAGCATTTCTCAAGTCATTCTCTTTAGTTAATTACAAGTTGGCAAGAAGATAGAAATATATAGGTGTTTGGATGAAAACCAAAAAGCAAAGAGAAGTGATATTTCATAATACTACCATAAGTCCCTTGTAGGATCTTTGAACCATTACTTGCAAAGCCAGTAGAAAAAGCGCTCTAAAAGTGTATAAAAACATCATAAACTATTTTTAATATAAGTTAAATTTACTATAAATTAAAAACGCACGATTAATCTAAATGTATATACACCATTAGTGAATATACCTAGAATATTTTTGGATATTCTAGGATATTCTACCATCTAATGGTTTTTATTCATTTAGATTAATCTTTTATTTATAATTTCCAAACTTTCTTAAATACTTCCTAGTATATTCTAGTTTATTCTACCATATAATGGTTAATATTCAATAAGATTAATTTTGTGTTTATAAATTATAAATATGTTTATAATTATAAACTTCCATTTGATCAATTGGATTAATAAAGGAATAAAATATTCAAGCATATTTTAGATATATCCATTACCAGACTTCTGCAAACTAAACATATATTCAAATTTTTTTTGAGAATTGAAATTATGGTTCAGAGACAAAGTTACTTGAAGCTCACAAACACAAGCCTGGTCTGGAATTGTTCGAGACGTTCCACAGACGTTCTTGCTTCAAATATCAGGTAGATCTCCACTTGTTATACAAGATGTCCAGGCACATCAAGTTCGTGAGTCTCTGGAACAGAGCCACTGAATTCGTTGTGCGAGAGCTCCACCTGATGGAGACAAGGTCGTTATGGGACTGTAAGATGTTCTAACTGAGATCCAAGATTTCTAAACTCTCAAGGCTAGAGAGATTTTCCAGGAACTCTTGCAAAGAAGTTGAGAAGCTTGAGCTGCATGTTCTTGCAGCCAACCACCTTCAGCGAGGAGATGCTGTTATGAGAGAGGTCCAGGCGAGACAGCCCCGACCATGCGTTTGGATTGACAGTCTCGTTCCACACGTTGATGCCACTCCGAGAGAGAGAGAACCTGTGTGTCGTTGACGATCCCGGATGGATTCCTCGGGCAAGATGGTCCTATCTGCTTGGCTTGAGAATGGATGCCTCTGCCGGTCTCAAGACTAGCCTCCTTGACGAGCTTCCCATTGACCAAAACAGCGGCTTCCTTCGCCGGGAGGCTGCTACAAGCCTTCGACGCGGCCATGAAGCTCCCGGAGTTTGGCTTGCAGCCCGACCGCCTGGCTTGCATCCTCTCGAAGAGATCCAGAGCCACATCGCTCTCGCCATAGTAGCCGGGAGCCCAGCATCAAAACGTTCCAGGACATCACGTTTGGGTGAAGAATGCTGTCGAACACGCGGCGAGAATCCTCCATGCTGCTTCATTTTGCGTACATGTCCATGACGACGTGGATCCCCAGCTGCTTGCTCTCCGCCGCCTGGGCGTGGATCGCCTTGCCCTTGCGCAAATCCCTTGTGCTCCCACATACCTTCAGCGCCGACACCAGCGCGACCGCCTGCTGATCGGGCTGCGCTGCCGAAGGAGCGAATGCTGGTGCGGCGCATCGAATCGCTGCCGTCGCCAAGCCACGGAACAAGCGAACTCTTCCCATCCATCGCCAGCAATGTGCCTCAGCGAGCTCGCAATCCCCATCTCCGATCGCCCTCGAGTTGCATCCTTCTCTTTCCCAAATCGATCGGAAACACCACTGAAAACAGGAGCGATGGCGATCAAACGTAATCGATCTTAAGACTCTTACCTGTTGAGGGCTACTCCACCGGAGATCAAGCTCGTCACCATCCTGGACGAGTCGGGTCTGAAAGTAAACATGCTCACACTCTAGCCCAAGGACTGGAAACTAAGAAAAAATCCACCTTTGAGCGTTCCAGTAGTTGTAGAGAGTCTCGTACACGCAGAAGTTTATCGCAATTGTTGGGCCTACGGACTGGCAGGAGTACAGTCTATGGCGTTTTGCAGGGAGAAAAACCAATAAGCTCTCGTAGAACGTACTAAAAGCGTCGGCCAGAGCCCCTTGTAAAGGCCAAGAAAGCTCTCCTGTGGAAAGCGCGTGGTAGATGCCCGTGTAGTGCTTTGAGGTTGTCTGCAAATCACAGCAGTGCTTCAAAACATGCCGTGCACCACGGCGTGTTGGCGTGGTGACATGAACACGGCCCCCAGCCATGTTAACACGGGCCGTGTTCATTGACTCGGTCAATGCTCCAAAACACGGCTCCAAACACGGTTGAAACACGGTTAAATACTGTGTGACCACGCCGTGTTCTAAAACAATAGCTCACGTGGTTTACGTGGTTCACGTGGTCTTGCAATCAATAAAAAATTCCTGCGATCAATCAAAAGGTTTTTCCAGCGATCTATGGCGATTTTCTTGGGCAAGGAATGCCCTCTCTAGGATTCTAGTGCTAGAGTGGGAGGAATGGCGCTCAGCCACGCCTGATTTCGCTGCAAAAAATTCCTGATCATTGTCTCCAAGTTTGTAAATTTTCTCTCCCAAATTTTCTCCTTGCTTCTGCCATAATTCTTAGTTGCTTGGCATTGCATCTTTGTAGATTGCTGTGATTTTTAGTTGCTTGGAGTTGTGATTGTGTTATTGACGGCGTGATTCTAAAATTTTGAGTTTTTCAAAAAAAACTTAGGTGCAGGGCATGACCAATTGTGGATTGGAACAGGAGCAGGGTGTGGGATTTTAGAGGCTGAGCAATTGTGATTGGAGCAGCAGCAGGGTGTGGGATTTTAGAGGTTGGATTGAGTGATTGTGGATTGGAGTAGAAGCAGGTGCAGGATTTTAGAGGTTGAGCTGAGTGATGGCATCTGGGAGCCAGAGCAAGAGGACTTCAACAGGGCAACATCCATCATCCGTTTGGTGGGAAGAAGTGATCCTTGGTGATCAAACAAACTGCTGTAGTGGGCATCGACACTGGTCTTGCAAGTGGTGTTCGTTGAGAGACAAAGTTTCAGGTGTGGATCGTGTGAGGGGACATCTCACAGGGGAAGCTGGTCATGAAATCTTAAGTTGTGATGTCATCTCAGCAGAGAAGAGACAACAACTTAGGGAGATGGCTAAAACCATCGATGACCAGGTTTTGGCTGGAAAACACCAAAGCAAGAAATGAGCAGTTTCTACACATGTCGAAGGCATCCAAAGCATTGGAGGAGAGAGTTTTGTTGCTTCCCAGAGTTCCACACCAGGTGGCAATTCTATAGAAGGAATTTCCAGGTTTTTTTCGCAACGACAGCAAGGAATCTGGGATTCTTTTGATCCAAAAAGGAAGGAAACAGTGGATATGGCTATAGGACGATTTTTCTAGAACGAGCACATACCATTTGTGAAAGCTTGTTCTCACCATTTCAAGGAGATGGTGCAGCAGATTGCAAGGCATGGAATTCCCTACGATCTTCCAACAGAGACAGCATTGCGAGAGCAATTGTTGTAAGTGGAGAAAGCCAATCTTGAAGCTCAACTTGCCAAGGTGAAGGCACGTTGGAAGAATTGTGGGGTTACTCTTGTTGCTGATGCATGGAATGACACAAGAAATCGACATATCATGGGGCTTGTTGCATACAGCAGAGGACAGTCGACTTTTCTCAAGGCCATTGATATATCTTCTAGTGGGAAGATGGCTGATAACGTTTTTGCGACATGGGAGCGAGGTGTCGAGATTGTTGGAGAGGAGAATGTTGTTCTTATTGTCACTGATGGTGAGGCTTCAAACAAGGCTTCTGCTAGACTTCTAGAGGTGAGGAAGCCAAGGATTATGTGGGCTCCGTGCTTAGCTCATTGTTTGAACAACATTCTCAAGGATTTTGCAAAACTACCATGGATGGTTGGGCTGCTAGACACGGGAAAGACTCTAGTTGGCTTCCTCCGGAACCATTCGCATCTAGTAGTGATTTTGGCATACTTCTCTTCACGACGAGTGTTGAAGTTCAGCGAAACATGATTTGCCTTCAACTTTCTTATGATGGAGAGATTGGTGGAGCTAAGGCCAAAGCTACAACAAATGTTTGTGAGCGATGCTTACAATGCAAGGCTAGAGTCAAGGACAGATTCTGGGATAGCATGCCGAGGAATTGTGTTCAACAATACATACTGGAACGAGGTTAACCACATGCTGGGTGTTTCAAGGAGGGTGATGCATTTGCTACGAATGGTTGACGGAGACGTGCCTGTGATTGGGAAGGTCTATGAGGGGATGGATCAAATGAGCGAGAACATCCGTCAACAAGAGGAGAACAATCTTAGGTATGAGGAGCTAAACCAACTGATTTCAAACAGGTGGTGGGCTTATCATAGCACCTTTCACTCCGTGGCATACATGCTTGATCCAGAGTTTCAGGGGTGAGGACAGGAAAAATCCAGGGAAGTTTCCAAAGATTGAAACATGTACTTGGAGATCCAGTTCCCTGACTATCAGCAAAGGTCAACTATAAAAAATCAGCTTTGCCAATACAGGAACTTGGAGGGTAGTTTTGGCACCAGGGACTCTCAGATGGATCGTACAACAAAGGGTTCTGTGCAGTGGTGGGAGGATAATGGCTACTCAGGTCTAGATTTGCAAAGGTTGGCAATTCGAGTGCTTAGTCAGACAAGTTCTTCCTCATTTGTGGGGCGATTGTTCAGCATTTTTGGGCACATCACTTCAAATAAGAGGAATTGCTTAGTAGTAAGCCGGATTGCAAACTTGGTATTTGTGGCCAATAATACCAAGTTGATAGGGAGCCACACTTCCTATGACAAGTTTGTGGGATTGAGCCAGACAAGAAGTATTCCTCAAATTACTGATGCTGATATTGAAGCTATGGAAGAAGAGGACGAAGACGAAGATGATGATCTTGCTAATGAGGAGCTTCTAGATGAGATGGAGTGATAAGTAGAATATTCTAGAGAATATTCATGTTTTCACCCATGTTTATCTGTGTTCATTTCCGTGTTCCATGTTCGTGTTCAAAAAATTGAATGCCCTGTTCGTGTTCGTGTTCGTGTTTTGAAGCTATGAATCACAGGGGTCATTTCACTTGCGAGGTGAAGAGCAAGGCGCAGAATAAGTCCCAAGAAACTCTCTGTCAAAGCCATACTTCAGCTGAGAGCTTCTGTTGATGATTGTGGGTGCCGTGGTGTGATGTTCCAGAGAAGTCGTTTGGCTGCCGGATGCTGGATCTCTTGGTGGCACCTCTTGGACATCCGGCATGATTTCAGGCGCTTGGCTGTTATTTCAATCTGCTGGAGCCACAAGCTCGTGGAGCGTGATCGCTTGATCCAAGCCGACTGGTGCCATCCTGCACTGTTGCATGCCATTCGCTTGTTGAAGTCATATCGAGGATAAGTTATTTCGTCTTTCTTCCAGCTTTGATGGTCCAGCACGCTTCAAAGTGATCTATCGTTGATTGTTTTTCTTTGAACATCAGTCTAATTAATGGCCATGGTCTTAAATGAGATTTATAATGTTTTGTAAGAAGTTTGAAAGTTGCATTTTATACTTAGGTGATAATATAACCATTAAAGAGTCCAAGGTTAAAATGAATACAGATAAACAAATAAAATAATTTAGTGAAGTGTTCAAAAATTATCTTTAATTCCTTAAAAGATAATTTAAATATAAATGGCTACTACCTATTTGAATACTTGGCATAGCTCATTAGAACCTCACTTTAACCACATGGTTAAAGCATTTAAAAACATAAAGTTGTGAAAAACCATTGTTGTGGAGATATCTTCATGGGGAGCAACCTTGTGGACATGTACTCAAAGTGTGGGAGCATGGTCAATGTGCTGATGGTTTTTGAGAGCATAAGCTTGTCCAAACGACAACATCCCTGCTAGGCATGCGTTTGAAAACTACTGGAGCTTTCACCATATCTCCATACTTGGCATACATGTCCACCGAGCTGCTCCCAAAAAATCAGTGCTCACAGCATCCAAACTTTGTGGCGAGAGAATGAATCTCCATCCCCTTTTCTAGGCTCTGGATTCGCAATAGCTTTCCATCTTCTCGTGGAACAGGTTGTTTTGAAAGGTGGACACAGGCCATGACCGCAGCAATAAACGTTCTTTCATCCGGATCATTCTCCCTAGCCATGCCGAAGACCAGCTCCAAGGCCAGCTTGCTGTCTCCACTTCCAGCAGATCCCTGGATCATTGCGTTGTCAACATCCACCGCTTCCTCTTGCATTGCCGAGCTCGCACAGGCGGCAAGCGCAGCAAAATATGTTTGGGAGTTTGGACAGCACCCAGATAGCTTCATATCTTCGAAGAACATGAGAGCCAGCTCGCTTTCCCCGTTGTCCACAAAGCCTTGTATCAAGCTCGTCCAGAGCACGACATCACGATACAGGGATATGTAGACAACGGTGAGAATGAGCTCGGGCTGGAACTCTTGGAGAGCATGGACTGTGCTCCAAACTCTCGGACTCTTGTAGCGGGACTTACGGCCTGTGGGAACGTTGGGTACAGTGAAGCTGGAAGGAAAATCCAGACTGAGTTTTACAGGCGTGGGCTGGAAGACGACCATGTTGTGGGGACTGGATGGTAAACTTCTACGGGAGGTGCGGGGTTATGAGTGCGGCCGAGCACTTGTTTGGATCTCTGGCAGTCCGAGATACCGTCGCCTGGAATGCACTGATCACAGGATTCGGCCAACAGGGTGACACGTCGCGCGTGTTCGAAGCCTTTCACGAGATGCGAGAAGATGGCGTGCGAGCAAACGCGATCACGTTTGTCTCGGTCATCACTTCTTGTAGCCATGGCGGCCTGGTTGAACGAGGCAGGGAGTTTTCCAGGCAATGGACCCGAAATCTGGCATTGTTTGCGGGATTCATCACTACAGCAGCTTGGTGGATCTAGCGTCCTCGGCGCTTGCCGCAAGTGGAAGAACGTGGAAGTGGGGAGGATTGCGTTCGAGGCACTGACGAAGATCGACGAGAAAGACTCGGCTGCGTACGTTCTGATGGCGAGCATCTACCGGAGCGCGGGGCTGTGGGAGGATAAGCTCAAGACTATACAGGAGGCGGCCTTGAAAGCGCATAAGAAGAGTCCAAATATTCATCTACGAGCGGATTGATCTTCATCAAAAGTCACACGCTTGAAGCTACAAAGGACGGCAGCGGCAAGGTGGACGAACTGGAGATTTGATTGCCAACATCCACAGAGCTGGGAATGAGTGCATTTTATTATATACGTACATTATTAAAATTGATAGTGAACGTTTAGTATACAGTGTTAATTAGGTATAAATTAGCAAATTTCCTAATGGCGTCCGATTGTTGCCAGATCTAAAGGTTCTGGTGGTTCGACTCCCGCTTTTCTAGGAGTGGCGATCGCAATGTGGGCGAGCGACGACGATCCAGACGAAAACGACGGTGGGTGGAGCTGCTGGGAAAATCCCATGAACAGCATGAAGTTGAAGAACTTGGAGTTTCTTGTGGCGAGCAGCTGCGGCCTCAGATGACCGGCAAGGCCTATCTCACAGCCATTGTCAGTTCGATCAACGGTTGTTGATCGAACAAAGGCGCTGAAAATTACTGTGTGATGATGGGCTTGCAGCTTAAGGAGCGAGAGCTAGAGTCGATCGACATCGGCTGAGAGACGCTGGACGTGAAATAAGACCACGCTCAAATTTAATGGTTTTAAGGTTGAAAGCATGAGATTCCTGAAATCCAACTCTAAACTATCTCCAAAGAACAATAATATTAGTATAGTTTTATTTGATTGTTTATTCTACACATTTTGCATTTTATATGCTATTACAGCTTAATAGAGTAATGCAAGCACCGACTTAAGGATACTAACCACTGCACTCAGCACGAGGAAAATGCAACTGTTTGGAGTAACAAGGATAATCACACTCTGCAGAAGCTTGATAGTTGCGGTGAGGCTCAAGATAACCGTTAGATCAACTTTGATGAACTTGATTGGAGTCCACACAGGAATGGCATTGCCCAGATACTTGCAGATGACGCCAATGATAATCGGGCAAGGGTAGCCACCAGGGATGTAGATCACAATGATCTCAAGGATGATAATCACTGGATAAAGGATGACACATAGCAAAGGAACTTTGAGGACGAGGTCCTTTAAACTAGCTATAACTTGAGTGACAATTCCAAGTACTTTCGCAACTAGATCCAATGGGACACCAATGTTTGATGAAGTTCCATTTGTAGGAAGCACCGTCTTTAGAGATCTCATAGTGCCTTGCAAAACCATTTACATGGACAAAGAGTCAAACAAAAGTTTAGACCAGGTTATATACCATACCAGAGAGGTCTCCACTAGCATCATTGTCTAAAGCTGAAACATGAACAGCACTCGCAAGCAGGAGGCATGCAAGTGGGAGAATGAATGCTATGCTTGATTTTGCCATTTTCTTCGATCTAATATTGCTTGGATAGTGTGAGTTATTAATCTGAGGGACATCTATGCCTTTAAATACTCGACAAAATCACACCAAACTTTAGGCCACCTCTAAAGCAAAGCAAGACTTTTGAGACAAGTATATCTTGAATATTTGATTCGATCTAATGTAATCTCGATTAAGTCTCCTCGGATATCCTTGGCCAGCCGAATCACGTATAGGATTTGAACCTAGTTATCACTCCAATTATTTGTACTTTTAAGCCTCGTGACAAGAAAGCGAACTTGGCAATAATGCATTCTAGAGCAAAGCTGGGTTGGTGCTTGGAATGTCCGTGCTTCCTAAGCGGGTACAAGTGGACTGTAAACAAAATTAAATTGATTCGTTGCTTGGAACTGGAAAGTTGATTCATCATAAAGTGGATTCCTTGTGCCCATATTATATGAGGCTTCATTTAGATAAATGATAAATGATAAAAATGAGATTTGTGTGTTTTTCTGGATACACACAATATTCCAACTAGTAGTTTATTGCATTTTGTATTTGTGTGATATGCTATAATAGTTTTACTTTATGGTTATATCATTGTTTAACTTTTGCTGATCCCCCGGTCTTGTGCCAAAATTCCACTTGGGACATCCGATGAGAGAGTATACATTCATTTTGTCCAACCAGGACTCCTGATGGAGCGTTTATCATTTTTGTGTTTTACACTTAAATGCAGGGACTTTCTTACTTGGCTTCTCCATCCCGTGGCAGTCTGAAATCACAGGCCATGGTGTGGTGGAGATCTTGCTATTGTAAATTTCCTGCAGAATTCCTCCACTCCCGTCAGCTCGTGTTATCTATAAATCTATGCAAAGTTCCACTCAGCCTCATCAGCATGTGGTCATTTTCTTCTTTGCCAGTAGGTAATGAAGTTTGGCAAAGGGAGGGTAGAGATTGCTGCTTTTGCAGCTGTGGTTTGCGATCATCTAACCTGGTGTCTTTTGATTTTTAAAAGGATCTAATTAACTCTAAATCTTTCAATGCTCATTTTCAAATAAAAAACAAATTTCATTTTTATATCTATATACAATTTGTAACAGTAACTTTGGATTAGTATAAACCATTCTTTTAAATAGGGAAAATACAACCTGTCTTGCAATTTAAAATGTTGAAAGAGGTTACTGCAAATATGCTCTTACATAAGTTGTACCTTTGTTCAATGTAGAGGATACCTTTTACTACATGTCAGAGTCAAAGGGATGCTAAAAAAGGAGAGTACTTAATATGACTTGTTTGATGCCCCTCTAGATCTAGTATTTGAATTAGCTAATAATTAAAATTATTAATTTGATTTAGGTGATTTATTAACCAAATTAACTAAGTCAACACAATCTAGACATTAGTTGTATAAGTATAGATCTTTAATAATCCTAAATTACTTTAGCTTTTTGTCTCTTCCTCAAATCCTTTGATTCTCTTGTAAGTGTGATGCTATATGGTGAAGATGGTCTTCCTCCACAGTTAGAAAACTAACTATTGGAATTTATTGTGCCTCCATTCACAATCACAACCATCATAGTTATTATTATGCCTCCGTGCACAAACACATGTGGTGGCATATGTATGGTTATGGTTTTGCATGTTAAGGTTAAGCCATATTGCAATATATTATGTCAAATATCAAAGTAGAGTGCATAGTGTAAATTATGCAAACCATTATTAAGATGCTATGAAAATTATAATCGCAAATCCTTGAATTTTGGGGGATAAATAGGGATAAAATAACCATTAAAGGCTCTTTTAGCAAGCAATCGTCCCTTTTCAAGTTAGATTAAAATGTGAAAAACAAAACCCCTTTTTAAGTTGGATTAAAAGGTGCAAAATAAAGTGTGTTACAATCTCATAGAGTTTTAGATTTATAATAGTTTTTCCATGATTGGTCAACAACAATAATATGCAAGTGAAATAGGAGAGCAATGTTAAGAAGGTCTGAGCTTAGTTTCTGAAGTTATTTTGTCCTATTAAATTACTATATGTGTGTAGATTATGAACATTTTATCAAAATAGGCCTTCACTAGCAATCTCATTAGGAAAAGGAACAAATGACAAAATGTATAAAAAAAATGTTTAATTTGGGTAAATCATATGTCTTATGGTTTGTAGAGAGTTTAGATGTGTGTTGTTTAGATTAATTGCCATGTGAATGATGGCATAGATCAGGTTAAGCAAGTGTTTGAGTGGCTTTAGAAACATCTTAAATGTCCTAATTACAATTTTAGGAAGGACTCTTTAAAGTACTTGGGTTTTATGCTTTATAGAAATAGTGTGTATTTAGATCTTCAAAAGATATAAATTATTTCCAACTCATCAAAATGTTATAAAGCTATATCAATTATAATGTATTTTTTATCATAATTTTCTTAGATGGTTTCTCTCTTATACAATTTTCTTTGACAAAATATATATATTTTTTGGTTTTAGAAATACCAAAGAGCTTTTGAGGAAATGAAAAAGCTCTTGACTTTTACATTAATTCAGCACTATCATAAGTTCTTTAGTGGCTTCATGGATGCTTCTAATATGGATTTCAATTAATGCTAACTATTAATACAAGAAGTTGCTCACATCACTATAGCTTCCAAAGCAACTCCCAATTCAGGATTTGGGTCAAAACTACTGAGCTTGGGTGCTATGGCTCATTGCCTTCAATGCTTCATCTACTTCCTATTGATTCCCATGTAGCCTTGAATCACTCTCAAGGATCTTGTTCAGCTCTAGTATCCCCTCCTTGGTGCCTTTGTGTCTATTGCCATCTTATACTAGTGGGATGACCGCTTCAAGATTTTCCACTGGGGAGCTGGCTGGGCCAAAGCCTGTGTCTGTGAGAAGTTTGTAGGTGTGCTGAGCCCGGGCCATCAACTCCCTCATTCTCTACAGAACTTCTTTTTGGAGGTTGTTAGTTGTGCATTTTGTAAGGTGATCACTTTTTGTGTGATGGGTATCTTTTTATTTATGCTAGTCATTCTCTTAATGATGCAAAGAAGAGTTATTTAGCTACAAATAAGAAGTATTTAGTTGTTATGCTTGAATTTTTAAAATTCCATATATATACCTTTATTACTTAAGATGGATTATATAACTTTGATATTGGTTCTTAAGCATATTTGTTATGCTTAAGAATCTTTAAGGTTGCATGTACTAGAATATAATATAAGTTTTGTGAATGTTTTATCTCAATGTTGTTAGTAGTTACTTGGATAATGAACTTTGTGATGACTATAACTTTATGGTGTATTATAAACAACAAAAAAGGGAATACTTTAAAAGAGATTTATGGAGAAAGAAAAGGCTTATAAGAAAAAAATACACCCCCTTTTAAATGGTTTGAGATACTGAAAGTTAAATGTTCTTGAGTTCACATAATACTTAGATCTCTGGCTTTTTGAAAAATCTAAACTAAGGAGCTTATATGAATGTTTAAAAGTTATCTTTAATAACAATTTTAAGTATCATTTAGTAGCATCAATGTGTTATTTCAACTCATGGCTACACTTCTTCCATAATAACCCCATATACTTAATTTATAAAGATATCATAAGTTTTTGGAAAAGGTGTAAAATTAATTATATTGGCCTTAGATGCATCAAGACATTAGTTGTATTGGCTTTGGATGCATCAAGATATCTTTAACTACATCAAAAAGTGTGGAAAGTATAGCATTTTAAAATTTTCAAAATGAGAAAGTGACTATATTAGCCTCATATGTGTTAGAATATCTCTAACCAAATCAAAATTTGTGAAGAGTGTCAACATTCATCTCCATAGTACTACTTGTTGGGTTATTAAAAGTTTTTTATCTATTTAAATTGGTTATGTACAATTTGATGAGGTCCTTACCAAAATGTACTCTAGAGTATCATTACAGCATTATTGCATCTTATTACTTAATTCAATGGATTGAAATGTGTGCCTTTCTAAATATTCCATTATGCAATTTCTTTTATAAATAGTGGTTTTGTATCATAGTTTTCTTAAGCTTATTAAAGTGTAACTCAATATTAAGCAATCATTCTGAAAAAAGATGCCTTTGTTAAATAGTTTAATCGTATATTCAAAAGCATTATTGACACCTTTCCCTTTTATGTATTATTGCTAAAGGTACTAAACATTATTTGTTGAAGAGTCCTTTTGGAATACTATATTGACATAAGGTCTATACTGTTGGTTCCATTTGGTAATCCCTTTTGTTTAAGTATTAATAAACTAAATTTAACATTTGCAATTAGTTGGATGAGCATAAAAATGGTTCCTAAATGTCTATTTAGCCAAAAAAACTTTCATTTAATTTATTAATTCTTTTTTTCTCTATTTTACCTTGGTTTGACAAGAACACTTTCAATATTAAGGCTGCATGAAAGGAAGGAGCCAAACTCTATAATCAAAGAATGAAGGAAAAAAAGCATACTAAAACAATTTTAGAGCATTTAAAATTTTAATATTAAAACTAACACACAAAGCAAAGCTAAATAGAGTCTAATTACCACTATAGTACATTTGAATTTGGAGTAGAACTCTAAGCTTATTACAATATGAAACAAGGGTTTGATACACTTAAAATCCTTTATAAGCATCAGCTCCTCCTTTCCAACTCTTGTTAATAAAATGGTGTTAAATGGTGTTTAACACAATTTTAACTTACTATTGGCCTCATTCATAGGTACCCTAGCAAACCTGTAGGACTTTGATCATCTCCATTCTTGTGGAAGAAAGAACCAATGAGCTCCTCAAATGCAAGAAGGTAGGTAGATTACCAACTAAAGCAATATAGAATTTGCACTTAAGCTAAAACTGGACACAAAACAAAGAGTGAGACAACCTAGTGGGAGCCAAATTAATGTGGTTAGGTGGTCAACTATGTTTCCAACCACAATCTCTATTACACATTTGAATTTCCATTCCCCCTCTTTAGCTTTTAGGATAAGTTTGACAATTTATTAAATATGGAATAACACTTGATCATGAATTAGGCCATGAGAATAACACTATGGTGTTTAAGACATTCTCTACATTCATAAATCTGCCTTTCAAGTAGATCTAAACACTTATCATAAATAATATATAGAACTAAAATATGAACAACACTTGGGGTGTAGTAATGAGGGTGTTTAATGGATACAGTAAACTATCACGTAGCAATATTGAGGGATTAAACTTAATATCATTGAAGTTTTTGATACTAGCAAGTGGCACAAGTTTCTCAAACTAAATTGAGTATGTTTGATGAGAAACATATATGAGTTTTTACTTTATGTTTATCCAATTTAAGTACATATATTATAACTAGTTTCTCAATTAGTTTAAATGGGAATTATAAAGGGAACCAACTATATTGACCTTTTACTATTATGGCAATAAGGAAAGAATTATTTGTAAACACTGGCTGCTAAGTATCTTTTGATACTCCAAGTCACATTTGCAATAATAATATAATAATACTCCACAGGATTAAATCCAAGGTAGATGCAAAATAAAAATAAATATACCTAATGGGGAGCTAAATAATATCTCAATTAGTTGGCCATGCTTCCAACTTACTTACTATCTCTATTATACATTTGGAACCCCATATAAATAGTTTGTACAATTGTTGATTATCTTGTTATTATATTGAATTATAGTGTTTATAATATAAAGAAGTTGTTATAGAGTAAATAACATTTCTAATCAATCTTGATATTACTTTATTCTCATACTATATAAGAAGAAATGTTTTTTGATAGTTTAAAATTTATTATTTCTTATGAGTTACTACTGTTTATAATATCTTTGGAAAATTTATTAGAAAATAATAGTTTTGTTTTAAGTATAATTTTCTTTTTGGTTTACTTAAGCAAATCTCCAGGGGGACTAGGATGGTAATGGATATACCTAAAATATTCTTAGTATTCTAAAATATTCTACCATATAACAAATGTTATTCATTTAGATTAATATTTTATTTATAATTTATAAATATGTTTATAATTTATAAGCTTTCTTAAAACCTTTCTAGTATATTCTTTTTTATTTTATCATATAATGATTGATATGCAATAAGATTAATATTTTATTTAGAAATTACAAACATGCTTATAATTATAAACTTTATTTGAAGCCATGGACCAACTTTGAACCTTCTAAAGAAGAGGAATTTGATTAATTAGATTAATAAGTAAGAATAACACTACTATTAAGTAAACTAAGCATTGCTACATGCAACACATAACAATTTATTTAATACAGTCTTTAGAGATCCTTAATATTTAATTCATCATGCATTAATTTATATCCATATATAATTTAAATTATATTTAAAAATTATAAATTATAATAGAGAATTTAATGCTTTTTTTTCTTAACTATTATCATGAATCCACTTTTGTCATAAGCGATACTAGTCATATTTGTGATACTAATTTTGTGTCAGACAGCTGTAATTTAAAATTGACACCCTTACAATTCTCTCGATTATTTTCATCTCAAAATTTACTTGCATTATCAACACTTTTCTTTTCTATAAGCACATTAATATGAAATGAAACTATAAAACATATTAAAGTTATTTTATCTATTTATTGTGATTGATGATTTGAATTTTCTTATCAATACAATATTATGTATTTATTGTTCAGTAGACACAATATATTAATAGATAGTCTTAATTTGAAAATCCCAATATTTATTGACGGAGTTACGAATGCTATGATGTCTTGTGATATCCACCCATTTCTTATAATCTATTTATAAGTTAGTTAAAGATAGTTTTGAATAAGGCCTTCTTTAATGAAGGTTTATTTAGCTCCTTTTCTCGTTTTAGTATTTATTATTTTCATTCCTAACAAATTGGCAATTGTAGTTTCAAGAAGTAATCCACATAAAGGCTCTTTAGAGTTCAAAAATTTAGTTTTAAAAGCAATTGACAATGCTATAAATCAGATTAACAACGGTGAGCCCTATTATGCAGGGACTTCATTATTATACAGATATACAGAACTTACAATTCTATTAACACTTTTTAATCCACAACCATTTCCGCCAGTTTGCAGTTTATTTCCGGAATATACATCGCTTTATAGTGGGTCATCCTTAAAACCCGTATTAAGAGGTATATATAAAGATTACATAGAGAAGGATAGTGAGATTTCAAATTATGGGATTACTGAATATATTAACAAAAAGTATAGCATTTTATATACTGCAAATGTAGAAAAAGGTAAATATAATTCTAGAAGAATGTATAATGAATCATATATATCAAATAGTTTAACAAATTTAGAAGATTGTACATGGAGAGTTTCCTGTATCAGGACTGTAGAGGATTATTCATTTTTCTCTAGTTTAGGAACTAACCAGTTTTTGCAATCAACTAACAAACGATATGTTTTATATATGCATTCAAACTGTGTTTTGGCACTTTATAATGGTAAAATTACGGTATGGAAAACTAACACTGAAAATAAGGGATCTCAATGCTTTTTAACAATTCAAATGGATGGTAATCTCGTAATATATGACATTAGTCTTAATGTGATTTGGGCAAATAACATTTACTGGAAAAACTCATGGAAGCCAATGTCTCTATGTGTAGATAACAAAGGATTTATAATTGTTTGTAACACTGTCGAACAGAGCTGTATCTGGAGAGCTCCCAAACGTCAAGATGTCTATTAAGTTTTAAATTCATTTAGAATAAAACTCTATGATTGTTTAATTAACTAAGCTCATTGTTTAGGGTTTTAGGGTCCGCCATGGCGCTGCGGAGGTGGTTTGTGGCCGCATTCCCGCGGCGCCGCTGCCGCTCGCCCCCAATCCAGGTTCGCTCTCGCCGCATTTGCCTCATCATCGACAGCCGCGTGATCGACAGCTACAGGGACGAGGACGATGACGGCGATGGCAGCAGCGGCGGCACTCACGCGCTGGCGCTGCCCGACACCACTGCCTATGCGAAGAAGCACAATCTCATCGTCCGGAGGTCGGAGCCGGACGAAATCGCCGGCTTCTCCCTCCCAAAAGTCCCCGCCCTGGCCGGGATGGCGCTGCCCGAGCTCCTGGGATCCAAAACCTATCGCCCCACGCGCCGGGACAACGAGCTCGTCAACGATCTGTGCCATCTCCTGGAGCAAGGCAGCGTCTCTCCCTGGGAGCTCGAGGACGTTGTCCGGAGCAATGGCGGGGTTCTCATGCCTTACCACGTCTGCGAGGTTCTCAAGCACTACACCCGGGACGTGGAGCTCGCCTACGCCTTCTTCAAGTGGGCCGACCTCCACTCGGGCTTCCAGCACGACAACTTCTCTTGCAACGCCATCCTCAAGATCCTGGGCTTGCACAGGCGCTACGACGAGATCAAGAGGGTGATGCTGGGGATGGAAGAACAGATGATCCCCATGACGTACGTCACATATAGGATCCTCCTCCGGATCTACGTCGACGCGTCCATGGTGGAGGACGCCCTGGAAACGTTCCACAAGATGGAGTTTTCGGAGATCAAGCCGACGCTGGACGACTACCACTATATAATGTTTAAGCTCATCCGGCTCAAGTGCCCGCGGGTGGTGCCCATGATCTTCGAGAGCATGAGGAAGAACCTCGTCCGGCCCAACACGCAGACGTATAACTTCCTCATCAGCAGCCTTTGCTCGCTGGGAAAGATGGCGGAAGCGCGCTGGCGGTTTAGCTACATGAAGAAGTACTGCGACCCGGACGAGTTCACGTACGCGGCGCTCATCAACGGGTTTTGCAAGTGCATGGACACGGAGGTGACGCTCGAGCTGCTGGAAGAAATGCTGGCCAGGGGCTTGCGGCCAAACTTGGCGCTCTTCAACATGATGATGGACGCGCACTCGAGGAGTGGCAAGCACGAACAGGTGATCGCTCTGTTCGAGAGAATGGTGGAGCACGAGTGCCGGCCGGATCCAAAGTCGTACAGAGTTTTGGTGGAGGCGTTTGCGGTGTCTGGGAGGATCGACGAGGCTTTCGGTTTTGTACAGAGATATGCCGACAGCGAGAACGCTCCGCACCTGGGCGCTTACAACACGCTCATGAACAGGCTTGGCAAGGCGAACAAGGCCCATGCCGCTCTCGAGATTTTCTACAAGATCAAGGACAGGCCGAACTACAAGCCGGACCTGGTCACGTACAACGTTTTGATCGACTTGCTGGGAAAAGTTGGGAAGATCGACGAGTGCTGGAGCTGCTACCAGAAGATGAGGCTTCACTTCCAGCCGGATATATTCTCCTACAACACCTTGCTGGGAAGGCTGGGGAGGGCCGGGAGAGTTGATCTCTTTGCAAGCGTCCTGGACGACATGAGCAGAGACGGCGTTCAGCAGGACCGCATCACGTATGCCATTCTGGTGGAAGGATATGCGAGAGCGGGCAATCTGGACGTTGCGCTCGCATACCTGGAAGAGATGAAGAGCTCTGGCTTCTCTCCGACTCCAAGCGCCTTGGAAGTTCTCGTGAACTCTCTGCTCAAGGCCGGGAGATTTGGAGCAGCGGAGGCTGTCGTCCAGGAGATGGCAGCTATCAACGGTGGTCCTGGGAAGAAAATTGTTACTGGCACATTAGCAGCGTAAACAGGGATGGAGAAAAACCGTGCTGGTGCTAAATAACAACACTTCCAGTCCAGCTTGAGGAGAGGGCGGCGGGCATATTCTGGCCAATCGCTTGGGCACAATTCCGAGAGGAAGGCACGAGCTATGGCGGCGACTTAACAGCTTTGCTCCAGGGATAGTGATCTGATCTGGGCTGGGAATAGGAGGCAAGAGATTATGTAGGATTCGACGCTGACGCTACGCATCGAGGATGTTCTCCTGCTTCAACCCAAAGTATAAGAGACAACAGAAGGCGGCGTCATTCAAGATCATCACTTGTAAGTGCTGAGAAACTCTTATTTTGAAGGGGGAATTGTGCTTTTGTGCCTATTTTTCAATCTGTTCTTCCACAGTGAACGTGGAGGAGGCTAGTCATCTTGGAAGCAACGAGGCAGTGTCATTCAGTGCTCGTGACATAAACCAAGCGACCGGGAACTACTCTCCGTCTCGGAAGATCGGGCAAGGGGGATTTGGAACTGTCTACTATGGAAAGCTTCGTGACGGTACTCCAGTTGCTGTCAAAAGAGCAAAGAAGGTGCGGTTTTCCTTTTATTCTTCCTGTTTTTGCTACAAGTGCCATATTATGATGCAGAATGCTTTCGAGGCACGGCTTTCGACGGAATTCAAAAGTGAATTGAGCATGCTCTCAAGGGTGGAGCATATGAATCTCGTGAGGCTGTTCGGCTATTGTGATGGCAAGGATGAACGGGCCCTTGTTGTGGAGTATGTTCCCAATGGAAATCTTCGTGAGCACCTCGATGGTAAGTGCGTGCCGTCTTCAGAAGAACTCAGAACCTATGATTTTTTCCCGCAGTTTTGCGAGGAACAGTGCTACCTTTCGCAACCCGGATTGATATTTTAGTCGACGTTGCTCACGCCTTGACATATCTCCATTACTATGCAGGTACAGCAAACCAGTCACTTTCAAACTTGAAAACGTAGCAACAATCGCTTTTCTTTTTTTTTTGTTTCCATCGTGATTCTTGACCAGACGAGCCCATCATCCACCGCGATGTAAAATCGTCAAACATTCTTTTAACACACTCGTTTCGTGCCAAAGTAGCTGATTTCGGGTTTTCTAGAGCGGGGCCAATGGACGTGGACGCGACTCACGTCTCGACAGAAGTGAAGGGAACTGCTGGATATCTTGATACAGAGTATCTTTACACGAAGAAGCTGACACCAAAGAGCGACGTCTACTCTTTTGGCATTGTCATGGTGGAAACCATGACGGCGAGGCGTCCGATAGAGCTCAAGCGATCTGGCGAGGAGAGAGTAACTATAAGATGGGTAAGAACTTGTATTTCGAGAAACGAGCAGCTCACTTTTGGGATTTGCAGGCGTGGAAGAAGTTCGAGGAGGGAAACATCTTACAGATACTGGATCCAAACCTGGAGAAGCATCCGGAGATTGCACCCACGATGGAAAAGCTTGCAGAGTTGGCGTTTCGGTGTGCAGCGCCATCAAGGAAAGAGCGACCATCCATGCAAGAAGTAAGCCAGCAACTCACACTGATACGAAAGGATACCTTGGCAGTGAGTTCCAGCAGCGACATCAGCTTCTTCACAAGCTCGGAACGCGTCGGATCCTCTCAGCGGTAAGCTAGTCGTAGTAGTTATTCCTCTCTAACACACTGTTGTTTAGTTCGCAGTGACGTATAGCTTTGCGTGAAAGTTTTTCGGTGTTTGAATCCAGGAAAGAATACAAACGCACAGCTACAAGACTGGTGAAATTTCACCTGTTGTTTCTAGCCCTCCCGCAATGGCAGGAGCTTGTCTCGAGGACGAGACGACAGTGTTATTGATTTCGACCTTCCGCAACGTCATGCTCTCCACCGGGTTTAGTAGCCGCTCTCCTTTCGTGCTCTCTGTCAATTTGGTAGCGGTAGCACCATCCACTACAATTGCGCTGATCGTTTCTTTGTCACTCGTAGCAGGACACTTGGTGTTTTCGGGAGCGTCCGCCATGCTCGCTGTTGTTAAGTTACCAGGAGCAGTCTTGGGACGCTTGAGCGAAGACGCCTCTTCGAGCCTGGAAGCGTCCGTGAGAGTGGGCTTTCGTTTCAAGCACGGCAATCGGCAGCTCTCGACGCAATCGTCGTCATCGTCGTCGTCGTCGTCGTCGTCATGGCGCTGGATGTGGCTACGCAACCGCTTCACGTCGGCCACTCGCAAAGGCTTGAGAATGAACTCTTTGGCTCCCTCCGCCATGCACCTTTCACATGATGAAGAGTAGCAATCAGTCCAGTTCCCGAAGAAACCAACTTGCAGTAAAATATGATATTCTACCACTCTTTGGTTTCTTTTTGTTCTTTCTTTCGAGAGAGAGCCCGACTTACATGGTGATTCGCTCCGCAACGTTTTCAGAGGACATAATCACCACGGGGATTTCCTTTAAAGCCGAGCTCTCCTGTTGACAGCGATGCAGATAGATACTGTGTCCATGCATCAACTGGCATCAAACAATTTATTAAAGCGTGTACCTTGACCTTCTTGAGCAGATCATAGCCTGTCATTTCCGGCATACAATAGTCCGTGATGATCAAGTTTATTTTAATGGCCTGCAACAAAAGCAAAAGCCAGAGGAAGCAAAGAAAATCTCGAGGAAATCAGCCAAGATTAGCTTAGCTAGCATCCACCAACACCACCACAACCACTCCAACAAAGCTATCACCTTTTTTTTCATTCCATACAGATCAAGCGACAACGATTTAACGAGTTTTCAATCCAGCACAAGAAAGAAGAAGAGCACGAACGAGAAGATGGCTACTTACATTGATCACAACTGGAGCGCTTCCAACAATGCCCAGAACTTCCAGCGCTCGAAAAGCACTATCAACAGTGGTCACTGGAAAGAGGAAAGAAAAAAGTCCCAATGCGTATGGGTATAGCGAAGAGAAGAAAGAGTACGAGGCTAACCTTTGTAGGACGAATTCTTGAGTAGCCGCTCCACGACTTTGCGATCGAGATGGCTGTCGTCAACAGCCAAGACGTGAATTTCCCGGCCCTCCAAATCCATTAACCCTGTGGTGTGGTGTGGGAGAGATCGAGAATCCCTGGTGCCAGGCAGCTAGCTCCTACTCAATCCTAGCTCGGGGCCCAATCCATCGACCTAGAGGCAGCGCGCCATGGATCGGGGCGCCAGCATTCCCGAAATACAGCGATCCAAGAGAAAATTAGCACCGCATTTCCGGGCGGCGATCGATCTGCGGCCCCCTGCCAGCGCCGCCAGCTCCACCAATCGCCTGGCAGGTCCACATTCTTCTCACCACACCGCCGCCGCCGCCAGCATCGCCATGAAACCACACCCTCTTCCTTCCCTACTGACCACACTGGGAAAAAATTCTCCCTTGTGTATCCTCGAATATCCCGGTGCCCAAAAACCGCGCTGACGGGGCACCACGTGGTGGCCTTTTAAGCCGTGCGATGGCCGGCCTCCAGAGTGCACGGCCGCGATGGCTAGCGTATCTTACAGCGCTGATGTGGCGGCCGGATTCTGCGGCGCTGCGTGACAGGCTGAAGAGTGGGTAAAGTCCACGTGGGAGAGAATCCGTACCACCGCGATTTGCGGTCATGTGGCCACAGCCACATGGGCCACACAAAGTGGATTTTGTGGTGATTTAATCCCAACACTGGGAGCCAACCAGCAAATCTCCGGGAAGATCCTCTGCGACATTAGAATATGGTCGTAAACCATGTGCAAAATTTATACCAATTCGCATATTCGTGATACCATGTCGCCCGACACGTAGGCTCGCGTCGTGTTATCCACATCAGCATAATAATGTGTTGAGCACTTCATTTTAGCCTTAAGAATTTCTTAATTCCGTGCTCAAAGCACAACATGCAAGCAAGCTTTCTTCACGGCATACACAACAATAATTTTAAGAGCCCGGTGCACAATGGATCTTCAACCATTTTGATCTGGGTTTTATTACAGGGGAAATTTAATCAAAATTTCTTGAGCGCATCTATGATCTGTTCGCTGCTATAATCGTCCTGGGTGATCGCAACGTAGGGGCCGTCCGAGGGATTTGGAGCGACGTCCTCTCGCGTGTAACTGCTGCTCGATCGCACAAACCTCTCGGAGCCAGCGGTCACGGCCCCCTTGAGGATCACCACCCGGTGCGTCCCTCCCAGGAGCTGCTCGTAGTCCGTGTCTCCGTCCTCGCCCACGAACAACACCATGTTGGATACATCAATCCCCCAGCGCACAAACAAGTACCTGAAAGTTCCGAGTTTAAGAGGATCTGGAAAGGAAAAAAAAAAAGAGATTTTTATACCTTAGAGCTTGTGAGCGGGAGGCGAAGAGAGGGAGGACGTGAAGCTTGGTCGCTCCAAAGCAGTAAATGGCATGGGAGCGGAAGCCTCGCATCCGCAGAGCTTGTCGGAGGTAATCCACCTTCGGCACCTGATATGATCATCAACAAACAAGCGTTAGAAAGAAACCAAACTTCCAAGCCGGAGGAACTTACGTCGCTATCGCAGCCGCTTCCGACGCTGTAGGCGAGGCAGTGCGAGTGACCCCGGCTCTCCTCGCCGCAGATGGTCATCTGCGAGTCCTCTTCCTTTTCTTTCCCCTCTCCATCTTTGTGAGATGATCCCATGTTGGCAATCAAACGCTGCATGGCTTTGGAGAGGCCCTCGCCACCCCACCGATATCCAATGTGGATCGAGTAGTCTGGATCAGAAACTAGCTGCTGATCACCCGGTGACGAGTTGTTGTTGGTTTCGTCCGAGTTTTGTCCTCCACCCGGGTAAAGTAGCTCACTCCCGCTGCTACATATCAATGCATCGAACTCGGCCACTCCAATTCCTGCGGAGCTCAGCAGCGACACAGTCTCGCTCGAAGTCAGTGCCGTGGACAGCACAAAGCTCGTGGCTCGGCCACCCGAGTCCGACTTGCCAGCCTTGAGTATCTCCTGTATAACGTTGATCATGGGCTTGGCAGGACAGTCCCGGCTCCCTTCGACGTCGTAGCTATCGACCGCGATGACGAATAACCGCCGTTTCTTGCGAGAAAACGGCAGCCGGTTCGAGGAGTGATTGCTATTACTCTGCTGCTGCGACGACATGTCGGATTCCTCGTGAGCTCGCATGTGTTTCTCAAACGCCTGCTTGAGTTGCTCGATGTTCTTGTTGGATCCCCGGAGGATTTTCTCCAGAGAGCTGTTGAGCGAGCCGCTGCGCTCTCCATCGTCCGAGAGGCGGAGGGACATGTCTTGCACGTCCCGGAGCGAGTCGGCGAAAGAATCAGCGTCCATGTTGCCGTAGACGTCGTCGCTCTGCCACTGTGGGTGCCTCATTCGGCACAGTGCCACTCTGGAGAGATAAGTCCGGCAGTGCTGCGGCCACGAGTACAAGTGGATGTTCTTGAGGCCGTTTCTTCTGTATTCTAGCCACGCGTTTCTGTCAGCTAGCAGCTTGAGCAAGCCGTCGGCGATCTGTTTCTGGTCGTGAGGATCGACCAAGACACCGTTTTCGAGAGTCTGCTCACATTTTCCAAGTTAGAACACGAAGTTTGTAAGACACACACTTACGGTAGCTATATCGACTGGCCCTCCATTCTTCGTCGCAACCATTGGAAGACCATGAGCTGCTGCCTGTAAAACAAAGTAAAACCGAAACAATCAGCATTTTGATAGGAACGTAACGACATTGTCAACCTCGATAAGTGTCAAGCCGAAGGGCTCAACCAGAGCTGGATTTACGAAAACACCCTGCAGCAACCTCGGAAGTTAGCGACACAAGAAAAGACTTGGATCAGACTACCTTAGTTTTGGCTGCGAGGCGATAGATCTCGGGAACATCTGACTGCTTGTGGTGTTTGGGATAAGCAACCTGGCCGTAAAGGTCGTACTTGTCGATAAGCTTGAGAGCTTGTGTAAGGACATTTGAGCTTGCAGCAGACATCTCGTCGATATCATCGCGATTTCCCATCACAAGCGTCTAGAAAGCGAAAGAATTAGCAAGAGAAATTATCGTGCGATTGAAGTACTTACGAGGTTTGCCAAGTCTCGAAGGGGGCGACACTCTCCAAAAGCCTTGAGCAGTGTAGTGATGTTCTTCTTGGGATCCGGACGAGCAAGAGCCAAAACCATGGGTTTGTGAGGGTTGACGAAGAAACGCATCACCTGTTAACGAAGAACAATCGTTGAAAACACGTACAAAAACCAGTTTTTTTTGTCACCTCTCCCCAGATTGGTGGCTGTGGCCGTGGAGAAACTGGCGTCACTGCCGCCGCTTCCGTGCCAGTGAACGCAACGTCCCCCTCGCCTTCGAAAACATCACCAGCGTCCTGGACAATCACATTGCTAAAATCCATCCCGGGTGGAATCACCTTGAAAGAAAAACACAAGAGGAGGATCAAAACCAACTAAGAACATATACAAAAAAAAGAAACATACGACCATCCGAGGCATGTAACGACCTCCGCAGCTCACTCCACTCTTCAACCGGACTCTCAAAGTTTTGTCCAGCTTCACGTCGAATCCATCGTAAAGTCCCCACTGCTCCACAATCTCCTGCCTCGTGCTGGTGATCACCAGCTCGGCCGCATCTAGCGCGAGCTCCTCCCCCTCGATCCGTCTCATGATACGGTACGTCGAGTTTATATCCTCCTTGGACTGTCTCCCCTGCTTGAGAAGCTGCTCCAACTTGTTCCGCCCCAGCGAGTGGCCCGTGAGCACCATCGGCACGTTGAGAGCTCCCGAGAGCAGCGACGCACTGTCACCGGCGTCCGCGTAATGCCCGTGAATGACATAAGGCCACACGCGATTTTCGGACGAGAGCTGGTCTCCCAAGACTTTGGACATGTTGAGGATGTGCGAGAGAGCGCCGTCGACGAACTCCTGGATGTAAGGCCAGAGGAGCTCCTTGCGGAGATACTTGTCTCGCGGTCCGCAGGGAATGCGGACGATGTAAGCACCGCTGCTCTCGCCGGCTACGTTCTCGTCCGAGGACAGCATCTCGGTCGGCTCACCGTAGCTCCAATCCACGTCGGGAGCGGAGATCTGGCGCGTGAGCAAGTCGACACGGTAGACTTCCGGCATCAAAGCCAGAGCTCTCGCGAACTCGACAACATATTTCACCTATACGATTCGAAAGTCAAGACTGCGAAAGAAAGTTTTTTGTTTCACCTGGCCTCCGGTGTCCGAATCACGACCGAGCTCCATGTTTTCTCCACGAACAAGACCATGAAGACTGCGAGGGAGAAAACAAGTTTAAACAAAGGCAGAAAACTACGTAGAGATAGTATGATCTATGGCGTCACCTTATCATTACAATGTAGAGCTTTCTCTCCTTGTGTTGCTGCTCGTCGCTAGCGGGAGCGATCGAAGGAGCGTTGCACGTCTCTTCCAAGTCGGAGGCGATCCTCTTCATCGAGCTCTCGTTCTCGTTCTCGTTCTCGTTGGGGACAACTTCCACGGGAGGATCGGCCTTCTCTCCCTCTGATAAATCCTCGGTCGTCTCCAGCAGGCCCTGCTCGCGCTGGATTTTGCGATGCGACACGCGCTGTGCGTGCTCGGCTTCATTCTATCGTCGAAACCATTAGAACACCCAAAAAAAAAAACCAAAGAGGGCAAAAGCTTGCCTGTTTCTTCTTCCTGGTAAGGTGCCAAATCCTCCAGCACAAGTTCTCCAATCGAGCGCTTCGTTCCCTCACATTCCTGGTGGCAGTAGCCTGCGAAAATCACCCCATCGATCGATTACAAATTCTAGTATAGTCGCGATGCTTGGCAAAGAAGAGCAATCAACCAACTGACCTTTACCCAGGTTCTATGGATGTCCGTCTCATCGAATCCACTCACGACCTCCTCCACAAAGTACTTGCTGGCATTGAATCCCAGAAGATCGGGCGACGCCGGCGCCTTGCGATCGCTCGCGCGCTGCTCGTCGATTCCCACGCCGCTATCAAGAATCGCCTCCAAATATCCATTGATCCACTCATTCCCAGCCATGCGTGTTGCGCGCTCGCTCTAATTCTAGCCTAGAAACTTGTGTGATCTACAACCTGGCAGAGCTGTGGATGCTCCCAGCCAAGAGCCGGCGCCACCTCGTCTTCATGGGCAGCGCACGTGTCGCCATGGCAAATAAAAACCCTCGACGCAAATATATAACAACACAAAGGGCCCAAACTCACAAGGTAAAATTATGAGAGCTAAAAACCATGCTAAATTACACGAGAGAAGAGAGCATCCAAAATGTTTGTACAGAAGAAACTCTCCTTTTCTTCTTCACGAGACTCTCACGACTGTTTTGTAAAGGCGTACCGCGGCAGTGTCTTTAGTTTGTGCATTATTTCGCCAAAAGATGGCCGAGCTTTTGGGTCTCTGTGCAAGAAAAAAAAAAACGAAAGGGGCACATTTTGATTAGAAATCTTGGAAACTTACGAGGACCAACAAGCCTGCATCAATGCAATGATCCCCGGCTCGATGTGATCGGGTATTGGCAGCCTCTGGTTTAGATAGCCCACAGCTCCAATCACCTGGAACAGCGAGATTAGAACTAGAACCAAAAAAGCTTGCTTTGTTTTTTCTCTCGAACCTGCATGGAGTTCATGCCAGCCCACGGTTGCTGGAGCGTCGCAAGCTCCCACAAAATCACTCCAAAGCTGTAGACATCACACCTGTCCAGAGAAAAACAAAGGAAAAGCGCAGTGACGTTAAAAACACTGGTGCCACGGAAGACGTTCATGTTTTACTTCTCGTCAGATGGCTCGTTGCGCAAAACCTCTGGAGCAGTCCACTCGGGCTGCAACACGTCTCACGGTAAGAAAAAAGCAAAAAGCCAGAATCCGCACGGCTGCTTACCGTTCCAACTCCAGTTTTAGAAGTAAGAAAAGTGTTGTTCTTTGGGCGCGACAATCCAAAATCACACACCTGTACAGCAGTGGACAGTTATTAAGCAACAGCACAGTTTGTTCACTTGATAAATCACCTTGATCGTCCAGTTTTCCTTCACTAGCAAATTCGGGGATTTCAAGTCCCTGTGTACTATAGGGGGACAGCATCGATGGAGATAATTCATTCCTTTGGACTGATTACATGCGTGTGAGAAGAAGTGTGCAACTGGCATGATGCTTACCACATCAAGGGCCATACGTAGGCGTCGACGCTCATCCAGTTTGGTTTTTTGCAGAATCCTGAATAGGCTCCCTCTGCAAACTTGACACCTTAAGAACTGCTTGAAGGGAGGCAATTGAGTGTCTGAAATACCTTGGACAGAACTCGGTAACGAGTGATAAGTTTGGAGGCTGTGTGACCGCTCCCATGAAGAGAACTATGTTTGGATGCCGCAGCCGACGGATCATTGCCACCTAAAGCGAACCAGTTAGATCACGAGAGAGTGATAGAAAGTATACCTCTCGTTTGAACTCTTCAAGCGCTTCAGACCTGATGTCTTGATCCAGGAAAACTTTGACTGCAACATCCTGTGAAGTCCAAACTTAGTTTCATAAAGCTCAGTCTAGAAAATCCACTTACGGAGCCTTGCCAGTCAGCGTGATAGACCCTTCCAAAAGAACCTGGAAAATAAACAATTTAGAATAGCAAATTTAGAAAACTGGAAGAGAGTTGACATACCCTGCCCAACGCGTTCACCAATATGGACGTCTTCCCATTTGATCTCGTAGTCATCTACGTGACTTGCCATCTTTATAGCTTTCTGTTGGTCAACCTCTTTTTCTCTTGCTTTTGCTATGAGTTCCTCTCTAGTCCTTTCCTTGAAGCGAGTCGTCTTGCTAATAAAATCCACCGGCCTGCCTTCCTGTTCACCTTTCTCTGGATTTGGCGGCTCGTCCGCAGAGTTTGATCTTTTAATAGAAACGGAACTAGAAGCTGAGTCGGGGGAGGATGAGGACGGTTGTCGCAAAGAAGGGCTTCCCATCCCAGCAGATACAGGAGTTCTTGTTTCAGGTGGAAGCAAAAGCCCCGGTTTGCAGACTAAGTCTACGACCCATTCCCTGCAACATGGAACGACAAAATTCAGCTCTTTAGACGTCGCGAGCATGACGAAGATTTACCTCCCGCTGTTGCATTTAACGAGAGCAAAAGCGTCTTCCTCCTTGGCACAGAAGGGGTGGCCGCGGACAAGGCGACACGGTAGGCCAACACTATCTGCTAGCACCTGGAAAAACACAGCTTCTTGCGTTAAAAGACTGGTGATTACATGGAGAAGACTCACCTTGAAAAGAAGAGCCCTGTGCCTAGAGAGACCAGCCTTGATGAGTCCGATTGGAAGAACCACACTCCCGGAGATCTGCATCAGCTTCAAACGATTTTGCTGCCACGTCTCAACCAAATCATCGTCCGAAGCAGCAGGGCCCCCCATCTCGACTGCGACTAGCTTTCCCAGTTGAGAAGCTAAATCAAAGACTTCGTTTGCTTCGTACGCTAGATTGACCACCCTGTCTTCTAGTGTACACAGCGCGGGATCTACACTTCTGTCCACGAGCACCACATCGAAGACTGCCTCTGATGGATGCACACGATGCAGAGATTCCAATGGAGGCATCCGGCCTTGCTCAGAAGAGTCAGTGCAAATGCTCCAGACATGAGGACTCATTCCCCACAGCTCGTAAAAGCCATCCTCAATCCACTCATCGTAACTTAGAGAGCTCGTCACCTGCAAGGGAGAAGCACGTATCAAGTTCGCAGTATCGAAAGATGTCATTGAACTTACCCAATAACGATAAGACGTAGTCTCGGCTTTAGTCGCGTCGGAAGATGATTTTCCCGTCCTCGTACTGGAATCGTCTGCATCTGCATCTGGCTTGTCCGAAGGAACCCGCAGCGAAAGAGCCATTTGAAGATGAAAATCATCTTCGGCAGCTTGTTGCTGTTGTTGTTGTGAGTACCAACTGTCAACCATGATATTTCTTGGTGACTCTGGGACATTTCCATAAGCTCCTCCAGCGGGTAAACCAGCGTTAAATCTGGACATGAAATTCCCCCCAGCGGTTTCATTGCATGGAAGGTAACTCCTGGATTGCTGATCAGGAGTGCCGAGTCTCTCGTCGCTGTTAGGATCAGAAGCTCTTTGGATCCGTGGCGAGTTTTGACGACTTGAATTCCCCGAGTAATACTCTCCACCGTAGCTTATGTGGAGGAGGTCTGAAGATTCAGACGCCATTTTGTGGTCCTGTGCCGCAGCTGCCTGATCTTCTTCGGGTTTGGCGGCTCCAAAACCAAACCTCCGGAACAGGTACTGCATGGAACTTAATCCCAGCCTCTGCATCGAAAGCTTGAATAAACACAAAATCCCGCGAAAATATCGAAGGCATGCGGACTTACAAAGATTCCAGTTCCTGCTGGCAAGTTGGAGTGCTGCTGCATGGAATCGACCCGCTCCAAGTTTGATATGGAGCTTTCAGATATATCCGAGTCCATCCGTTCAGGTTCTCGGCTTCTCATGCTGCCTGGCTTGTCGATTTGCGAAGAGATTGCAACAATACCCTGAATCTGGCGGCCGTTACCCATAAGTGGACTGCTCATAACCATGGTATTGATAAGAACGCCGTCGCGCCTGAGAAAAGCATGCTCTCCCGACCATAGCTTTCCTTGACCAACGTGAACAAGGATTTCCTTTGATGACTTGAGAGCGTCCAAGGGGAAAAGGATGTTGAGGACGTTCAGTCCACTAACTTCTTCTTTTCTCCAGAGGTATAACGCTTCAGCTGTATTGCTCCTGCAAAAACAGAAAAGGCTGTAAGTCCGGAAAGCCACCAGCGTGGAGCGCTCGAAAAATACACACCAGTACGTTATATCGCCATGGAGATCGGTGCAAAACACTGCCTGTCCGAGTGCCTCAAACTGATAAAGCTGCTTCAAGTCGACAAAACCGGCTGGAAGACTGGCGCCTCGGTAGACCACCGACTTCCAGACCCTGAAAGCATCGAGGCTAACATCCGGAGTACCGGCAGGCTTTCCCAAGACTTTGGGCCGGAGCAGCCACGCTTGATCCTCGAGCTCTTCACCAGGTAATATTTGCTGCCTCAGCCCAGCCGTGCTGCACCTGTGGCCTCCAAACATCGCTGACCGCTATGACAATTCATCGCAAGCTCAGGCGACGAGCTGCTGGTGATGATGATCCTGGAAGGAAGCAAAACAGAGGAAACGAAGTGAGAAATCATGAAATCATAAATCTCTAGCTTCGCACCTTTCTCCACAAGTTGCTGGAACTGAAACACCGAGGATCTAAGTCGCATCGTAGAAACCATCTTCGCCGCTGCTTCGCCGCCGCTCCCTGAGCGTCAAGGAAGAAAAGAAGATCAATCACCGAAAATAAAGGGGGAAGACAGAAAATAAAGTAGAGGCGAGCCGCGAGAGAAGAAAGCAAGCAATCCAATCACTGCCAACAACCACCTCTGCGTTTCTCTGTGCTCAGGACAGTCATTTTCCATCGCCCGTGATCCGGCCTTAGTCTCCAGTCCAAGTTGCGCACACGAAGTGGTAGAAGAACAAAGAAGAAAGGCAAAAGAGCTCTTTATCTCTCTCTCATCTTCTCTCCCCCCCCCCCCCCACACACACACACACACACGGGAAGAAAGAAAAGAAACCCCGTCACAGGCAGCAGCACCCCAGCCTGGCAATTCCAGAAATCCACAAGCGATTCAGCACGGATCGAAGGAGAATCGAAGGAAATATGCGATCACAGACACCTAAGCGGCGGCGCTAGGGCGGGCGATGCATCGATCGATCGATCGGCCGCGCCGCCGATCAATCAATCGGCCATGGATCGATCGCTTACCTGGTGCGGTGGCGGCGCTGCTGCTGCTGGTGCTAGCGCTGGCGCTGGTGCTGGGAAGAGGACGAGCGCGTCCTCCGCATGTTGCTGCTCCTCTTGCTCATCCATAATAAACTATAGCCTAGAAACCCCACCCACATTTTCTTGCCTTTGTTTTTCCTCGTCTTTGGACTACACTATTCCCCTTGCTTGGCACACGCTGAAGATCCACACAGCGATCACGACAAGGAAAGAGAAATTTTGTGTGCTTGGGATCGCATAGCTCGCTCGCTCGCTCGCTCGGGACCCCCGCACGGATCATACAACGATGTTTGCGATCAGTGATCCAATTCGTTTTGG